TTCTGGGAACTCTAGTGAGAAAAATGACGCGGAAGAATTTCAATTCAACCAGAAATCAAGTAAAGTTGCTCTTAACTGTCAAAGAATTTTTTACATGGCAGGATTTATGCTTCAAATAAATGGCGCTTGCCTTGAAGAATCAGAATTTCCTAATGAAAATGTCTACAGGTCTTCATCGCAGTGAATGCTCTACCAAGAAAATGTATAATTCCGGCCTGGGTGATGACGTGCTACGTTTAGACTTACGATGGCTCGCTTGTCTCTCGTTCATGCGATGCTTCCGGCTCCTCTTAAAATATTGCGAGCACGACTTGCATCAGTAACTCGTTCGAGACTCAATAACCTTGAAAGAATTACTCGGATTTTCTGAAGACATTCCGGAGGTACGGCTGAGTCAAGTGCGGTAAATAAGGTTATATTCTCCAAGGACTCCCTTATAAGTGAGGACGACGGAGGAATATCCTAGGCTGGGTGTAATTAATTGATGTCACTGGTTTGCTTAAATAGCAAGTTTACTAAAAATATAAAAACAAAGAAAATATATATATTTTTTAGAATTCATATATTTTATATGAATTCTAGATTCTACGAACTGACGATGGAGCTGGACTCCGAAACGTTTTCTATAAAGTTATGAATTTCTGTGAAATTTTCTTTGCTTTTAAATTTTTGGGTATAATTAGAATTATAATTGACCTTTAATCGTGTTGAATTCAATAATAAATTGCTGGTACATTTTTCCAATCTCCGTACTTTAGTACCAGCTTTTCTGGATTTTATTTTGCCGTGTGTTACCGGTAGTCTAATATGTCTCAGAGCATATAACCTCATGTTCAGTTCCACCTTTTTTAATGTTTCTGCTTATTTTTTGAATGTGAGAGTTGTGTGAAGGCAGTCGCATTGAAGTAGCATTTTCATTAGTTATTATTTATTAATTCTTAGAATCAGAAATGACTGCAAGTTACGATTTGTAATTCTCAATGTAAAAAATCCCGCTAGATGTTCTTTCTGCATTGTAGCTTTTGTGTTATTTTTTTAGTCTATTTAAGTAGTCGAACATTTGCGCTTAAAAGAATGTACGTCGAGTAAATGCTTCTTCAGCAGCCCTGTCATGCACCCCTCAAGGTCGCAGGCGGGAACAAACTTATAATTCATTGATACTTCAACTTTTAAACTTCAATTTAAAATACACGGAAAAGATAAAGCATTTCAACATCGCTTGTGAACTGTTGGCTATCATTTGACACTAAAGAACCATCCATTTCTCGACATTGCTGTGTCGTTTAGTTTTAACACCATTTTAATCTTTAAAGATGGCCATCTATTGATTATAGGGAGATTAATAGCACAGGTGAAACAATGCTGCAAAAATTGATCTAACCAAAAATGAAGAAAAAATAAAGCTAGCTTGGCTGAGCCTCGGCGTTATTGGTATTTCCTGTGCTGTATGTATAGAGCTTCTCTAGAGACAACAGACGTGTTACTGAATCCTAATAGAAGCGATACTCTTGTCCCTCAGGTGAATGAACAACAAACACATTGAAAGCGTTTTTGGTGTCACTCGCGATATCACAACATGAGTGTTCATAGCAGTTACCAATTATCGAAATTCAGTCAGTTATTCGTCAGCAAATAAGTTTTATAAATGAATAGTCACAGTGAAAGTTGCGTACATGGTTTTCTTCCTAATTAAGTAAACCATCCAGAAAAGTGAAGTTCAAATACTATGAATGCACGGTAGGCACCTCTGCAGATGTTCTTAGGCACCATCATAACGAGTTGGCAGAAAGTAAAAAATATTGTGAACAAAGAATTTATATTCCTGATACTACCCGTGCTTAGATTTTGATAAAAAAATTTAAAAGCGCACATCCGTTTGGCGGTCGGGTTGGGTTGAAAATGCTACAATTTATGAGATATCCACGTACCTAATCGCTCACTTGGCGTTGCGCGCTCATCTGTTGGTGGTGCGCTCGGGGCTGTCTGCGGACTTAACTTGTCTGTTAGATTATGGGCTTTTATGGCCGACTGTCGCGATCGGTCAATTTAATTTCAGATAATAATTCGAGATTGGTTCCAAAACTCGTAAAAAAAGTCTATTTATCACAGTACAGTCAGCCCGTGATATGTCCAGAGAATTTATCAGTTAGTAAATCCTTGTTAGTGCGTAAAGGCTTGAGTGATGATTTGGAAACTGCGACTGAACGGTCCACATTAGCTGAAAAAATTTAGTAACATGCTCGTCCATGAAATTTTTTAGTGAGCACAAAAACCGAGAGTATTATTGTCCAATCCTGTAACTTTTTGCCCCTCCAGACCTACAATATTCTCAATTCTAGGGTTGGTGTTCAGCAAGCGGCATCGAAGGAACCCAACTGCAGATATTGCTTGTTCGCCCTACCATCTTCAGCACGCAGCGTAGCTCGCTGCTCCCAAGACATGCTTTGTTCGACGTCTCGGACGAATTTACGGCTGCACCCGCGGCCGGTCTCGCGGCCGGGCTCCAGATTCAGTGTACATCGAATATCTCTCAAAGTACTGAACGTAGCTCGATGAAACTTGGTACACGTATTCATTATGGCCTGACGGTGATGTCAAGCTCGTGACAATTTTTTTCATTTCGCCTTCATTCGTGAGTTATATGACGAACGTAAATTCGTCCGAGACGTCTTTGTTCGAAGCATCCGAGCCATAGTAACCGACATACCGAGTCGGTAACATACCGACTGAGCTTATTCTGTTTTCAATGCAATAGGATTTCAATTAGTTTTTTCCAAATGATTGTATAATTAGTAACCCGAGTTTTATAAAGGAATTACTCGCAGCTCAGTGTCTCCCACCATTATTATTGTGCATGCCGGACATCCCACAACACGATTTTCATTGTAGAAGATCAACAATCCTCAACTTACCAACTGGTTTAAAAATTCTCCATCAATCATTAGTGAATTAGGAAACTAATAAAAATTAGTCTTCCTAGTTGATTGTAATGCAAAATTAAAAATAAAAAATAATTGCCATGAATTTCGTTGAATCAGTCGTTATTACGCATAAACGAGCCATCAAGCCTTCTCATATATAAATCTCTGGCAACGAATGTTCTCGCTAGGAAACAATGCGTCGAAACCTTCATCAAAAAGTACACGATAAAGGAATTAGGAATACTATTAGGTGGCCGTTAGTTGGTATTGTAACCAGCTTCTAGCTCCTGAAGCAGCACGTATCTCACAACACGATGCCATCAGCCCAATAAATAGAGGTGGTTATTCACAGACATCATGGCTGCCACCAGTTGTCCCGTGTACACGCACCTCAAGCTTCACGAGATCGAAGGTCAGGGGCGAGGGAGGGAGTGAAGGTGACTTTGCGCGCCGGCACCGCGCGCTGCCGGTGGCCGCCGCTGCTGCCTTTTAACCTAACTTCTAGGATCGCAGAGTGCATTTAAACAATTTCCATTGTATTCGGGATGCTACAATTCCCGATTATTTATTAGTCCATTAACCTGCACTTCAAACATATATAAATAATTAACGATTACACTTAAATGCGAGGTCAGTTTTGTTAATGTGACAAAGTTCTTCAATCGTCGAGTGAATTGATTGGTTGATTCCAATTTGGAAAAATCTCCTGACTAGTGGATTTATGATGAAAATACCAAGATTATTTGATTGCATCAAACTCAAATTAACCATTACTTTAAAAACGAAAAATAATGCCAGCAGAACAGGTGTCCGGTTGCAGCTCAGGCACTCCATATAAGTACGCTCAGCATACCCTAACTCACGTGAAGCAAATTATCTCAAGATCATCCCAGGCCGTAACCTTCTTGCCAGTCACGCAACAATTTTTAAAACGGTTCTTTAGCACGGACAGGAGTCGGGAATTCGCCACCATAGCGTGCGTTCCTGCATTGCCGATTTGAACGGTAAAGAACGATTTCGAGATGCAGCAGTAAGCCAGACCGGATAACGCAGAATTCTATTGCTCATCCTTCCTCGCATGTTGACTTCTAATAAAAATCAACTAATTTGCAAAGGGCATTAGAAAGCAAGATCTATTGCATTATGTACTGTCATAAATACTAGAAATGTGACTCTTGCGAGCCTGTAGACCATTACTATTGACTATTGCGGACCTACCGAGAGGAAATCGCGACAACACACTAGTACACTTTGATTTAACGCAAATTAATCTTTCTCTATATTGCACTTGCGGAATCATGGACGAAAAATTCCATCAAGGGAGATATTCATTCTGTAACATGGCTCCAAAAAGGAAATATCACACAAAATTTTCAGAATTTCTGTAAAAGCTTAAATAACTCCTAACCACAAATTATGTATTTTCTTGTCATGCGAAGATGGAGACAAAGATATACGCGAGTTCCGAGACGAAGTGGGTAACCTCTGCCTTGGACGAGTCTCCAGAGCTCCCTCAGCTCCAAAAGAAGAAGAAGAAGTGGGTAACCTATTTTGTCCTGTCAAATGAATAGTGAAGCTCTGAACGAAAGAGCACACCGCAAACTGTTTGAAAATTGTACGTGCTACAAGGAAATTCTCACGTCATTTATGTCTTCAGAATTTTATGTTTTAAACGAAGGAAATGCGAGTAGTTGTTTTTTTCGGAGACCAATGACGTCCTTTGAGGAACTGAATTACGGACTGTGTTACCCGAACGGCGCATTAAACGAGATTCAACCCACACCGCACCATCATCAATACTCATCGTCATTAGCAGCTAAAATGCTGACAATATCAAGCCCATGGAATTTACTAATTCTCAAGGTCAATGCGTTACATTTGCCGATCAATGTAAAAAGGCAGGTGCTGGACGACTCGAATAAACAGCATATCGATCCAAAATTTTAGAAGTTTCATCGGTAACTTTACAAGTTGTATCCACATTTTGAGAGCAAAAATGTTAGGAATTTTTACTAATACCACAATTTCCTACCCTCTGGGCTTATCTATTCTTCCTCGAAAATTACAATAAGATTACACTTCAGGTTTCAAAGTTTACTCCAGACAAGAAATTGCAAATCATAAAACCTAGATAAATTGCCAAGCCGAGCTGTACGAATAAAAAAATCAATGAAATTATTTGTCTCCGAAGCAAACACGAGGGTAAAATAAAACCTACCTACTTGAATCAAACCTACTAGACTAGAACAGTCAGTAATGGTTTTATTTTAAAGCGCTTTATACCAACAATGGAACACAGCAGCTTTCATTGCGGCTCAGAGGCACGCATATTCCTTTATCATTAAATATAAATGGCGAGAGCAGAGATTGACCATGTACTACGATTAAATTCTGCGACTCAGCAATTATTCCTGTTCTAATGCATCATAACAATCTATTAATAATGCTTAATCCGTTAAATTGGCACCTAAAATATATCAATATAGATTAAATCGTAATATGAAGAAAGAAATACATAGGACAAAAAAGAATAGGTCGGATGAGCAATATTCAGTTACAAAATTGTGCATTTAGCTTCATATCATATACTTTCCAAGATTAGGAGATTTTCGAAGACGAACGAAAAATTTAAGGCATAATTTTGTTTATTCCATACATTATATCAAGATAAATCTCCCATTTAAAAATCCAAATAATTACACGATGACTTTCAAAAAATATTCAATATTCCGTTTTTTTAAGGCACAGTTGAAAACTTCTTGATGATAGATAGAGCAAAAATAAAAATTTTCAGAAAAATTCAGAATATAATTTCTGTGCAGAGGCAAATCGCATCTTCTTCATGCTCCTAGTGATGCGCATGCAGGGGCTGTAGTCCTTGTGGGTGACGGGCGTGCGCTTAATGCGCTCCTTCAGCAGCGATGATGACAGAACCTTCGTGTCAGAACCTGTACATATTAATAGCATCAAGATAACTTCTCAACTCACACAGGTGCACTTCAGGGTTGAGATACTGTACATACAGACGCAAAATAACATAGTAATACTGACGCTGCAGAATAGGCTAGGTTGGCCTGTCTTCCATTCTTATAAACACATAATTATCTAAACAAATTTTTTGCAAAATTCTAGTTTATGGCCGGTTCACATTATGCAAAACATGGATAATCACAATAGCAATAACAAAATGTATACTATTTGTAATTTTTGTAATTAATTTCATTGTCTATAAATAATAAATTAAACCTGAAAATTTACCTGGCACACAGAGATGACGAGGGGGAGTGGAAAGTGCCGTTTTATTTGGCTTATTAGATTTTGATGGAGTCTGCACCTTTAAAGGAAATGAAGCAAAAATTATAGCCTGACCTACATCAAAAAAAAAAAAAAAAAAGTCTCCAGAATATGAGTAAGCCTATAAAATAAATTTTAACGCATTTGTACTAAAAAATAGTTCCTCTGAATGTTAGTAAGATGATCTTATCTGTAGTTTATATGACCAAGATAAAGGAATCTAATAATTATCTTCAACAGTGAATGGAAAAATAGACACATGTAGGAAAAAAAAGACTTGGAGTCTTCTATGTGCACAAACCTTGAAGAAGCCAGCATCGAAGGTGTTGATTTCTGGGATGAGTAGATCTTTCGACTTTTTCTGACCTGCCATTTTAGTTAACATATTTGGACAGGCATCAGAATTTTCATTATCTGATAAAGTTTGAAGGGCGCCTTTAGAAGTCTTCGGCCCACACAGACTGTCTGACGAATTTTCTGTTTCTGTTTTCTGGAATTCATTCAAACCAATGCTAACTTTCTCTGAAGGAAATAATGATTTTGAGCTTGATTTGACACATGGAATATTTTCTTTATCTTCAGAACTGACTTTGACAGGTGAGCTGTCCTGTATCACAATAGGACCAATTCTGCCACTTTTTTCGCTCTGCACAGGAAAAATATACCGTATAATTAAAAAATCACCCAGCAATAAATAAAAAAACCCTGATGATTTGCAAGACGATATTTTCTAAAGCTGTAGGTCACAACTTATAAACATAATGAGAAATTCATATAACACTACAAGATTTTACATTGAAAATCAACTAGTTCTAATTAGTTGCAGAATATTAACATCAACTTTTTAATTTAACATCAACTACTACTACCACTGTTTGAAAATTTTACTTCAGAATATTTCATATTTCTTAGTTTCTTATATCTCACGTTACAAAGCAGTATCAGCCCTAAAATAGACTCTGCCTCAAACTCAAACAAAACATCACTCATTTATGAAAAACATCCAACAACCAAAATACCAAGTCTTCTATAGCCCACAAGCATAATAACAACAAAATTATCTGTGGTGGGTAATTAGGAAATTAGTCCTAGTTTGCAATGAGACATTACAACCTTTTCTTCAACAGCATCACTGCTGAGCGAGAGCTGGTTCATCCTACTGCGTGCAGCCATGATGTGAGCTTTCAGGGACAATGAAGAAGCAGTGCGTATTTTTCCCGTTGGGGGACGAGATTTGACGAGGTTGTTCTTAGATGGAACTGGCTTCTGAAAATGAATATTTTGATTAACAAATGTTGCAATAACAAACCTTTTTGTGGTATGACAGCTCATAACATTTCAGGTTATGATGTAAATAAATATTCAAAATTAACAAAAAGCAAACAGATGATTTTTATACAGCGATTGTTGGAATTTTTTCAATCTACTACTTTTTCAGTCAATGAAAAATAAAGCTTCTTGATTATAATCAATACAAAAACAGTTTTGGTCAAAATCACGAGTTGAAGAAAGCAGACTAGTGTAAAATTACATGTATGTTCAAAATATAAATCAGAGCTACCGGTATTTCTTAGTGAATCAATAATAAAATATCTCACAGCAACATTTTTGGGAATCTCTATCCATTTGTTTGCTTTCAGCTTCTGTAAAGCTGAAAACTTCTGCAAAATGTCATCAACCTGCACAAAGAAGTTACATATAAATATAAAACATACAATAAAAATAAATCTAACATAAATATCTGTTACACCTACCTAAATGAAAATCAAATTTTAATTTTGAATTTTACCGTTCAATGTGACAGGATTCAACCATTAATAAAAAATTCCTGTGAACATAATGACCCAATAAGTAGCTTGGATATGCACCCAAAGAGCTCCTGAATATTTGCTTGCCAAATCAATCAAACTACAAGTTTTCATCAAACTTCATGTTCTTCAAAGCATAGTTTATTTGCAATAAAAGAAACTGTACAGTCCTGTATTGGACATATATATATGAAATATTCAACTCAATCTCATATATACTGGAAATTATAACTAGACCAAGGATTGGTTTAGCAGTACAATCAACAATGATGCACTAGTCTTGTCGCTATCTCATTCATTGATTTTTATCATCAACAACTTCTACAGGTGTTTCTAAATATAGTAACCTGCTTCATGATGAGTAATTTTTGTAACATAAAACAGAACATTCTGCAAAATTCCAAGAAGAAGCTTAATAACAGACTCATGAATAAGTGTCAGTTTATATCTTCAATGAAATTCCATCTGGCTATAATCACATAATAGAAACCTGAAAGTAAATGATATCCCAGAATCCCTGCAGATCTTGAATGGTGGTTTCTTTCTCACCCCTCTTGAATTCACAAGCATCAATGAGTCCAACAAACTGTTTGAATCGTTCCTTCTTCAATAGTTCAGCTTGGCCTGTACAGATGTGTAAATAAAATGATTTCTTCAGAACTTAAATGTATCAATTCTGAACAAGATATTATGAATTCTACTATAAATGATACAAAACTAATAATTTAATAAAATTGCAAAAAATATTAGAAAGAATTTATCATTCAAAATCCCATATAGGTATACTAATACATAAATGATAATGCTTTATTCAGGTTCATCACTAACCATGGACATCAATGGAGAAAATCAATAAAGAAATTGTAAAGATGATTTGCATGAAATAACTTTGATGAGTTGTAGGAAGTACAGGGAGTTCTAATGGTGCTAGTAGTAGCAAGATAGCTACATATCAAAAAGATTTTCCTATAGAGCATCAATTGGATTAAATGTAGATATCCTACATGAAAATAAATATATTTTTTTTATATTTAAGAGTAGAGATATCATTAGTAGGTATATAATGTACATATATAGAGTGGCATGTTGTAGTAGAATCTTCCACAACAGACAAGGCATTAGGAACAATTGTGATTTACTTTCAACAATTTCAGAGCACCTTTGAGACTGTGGCCAACAATGATGGACAAAGAATTGTATCCACAGATTTTAAATACATTATGGATACAAAAAATTTAAAATTCTGTTCATTTTATAAACATAAGCTTGTATTTTTATTTTTTATAAATGTTTATACTTTTTATACATAAAGAGCAGCAACATTAGTAACTTTGCTCATTGTCAGTAAGTTAGAATCAAACTAGTAACCAACCTATTGCCACATTGATGTCACCTAGAACATCATCAGAGATGAGGTGCACTGTCAGTTTGGCATCACTAGAAATTTCTTGTCTCCATTTTTGGCATAAAGAGGTGAGCTGGTCTGATACTCTCGCAACAATAGTGCGGAAGTCCCCAACACTGGTCAGGTCACTGGTCATTATGATCTGCAACATATAGATACAAATATTTATGAATGATAAAGACATTTCATAACAAAAGCATAACAAAATAATGAAAATTTATATCAACAGAACCAGAATTAATCTATCAAGAAGCATTGGGGGAAAAAGTCTTGTTCTAAGTCAACAAATTGACTATGTATAGAAGTCTCAAAATTTCACAATACCGTAGCTAAAATTCAACTAGTATGTTTGACATTCAAGCTGCAAATTTCAGTGAGAACAAAAAAGAATAGCAACAATATATAACATTTTTAAGTGTTATGATGAGCAAAATTGGCCTACTCTGCCAAGCTCAGCAAGAATGGAATTTTCCTAATAATGAATGAAATTATTAATAACAAATTTTTGTTAGGAAACTTCTAGCCCAATTGCACAGTTTCATTAAATATAAGATAGGAGATCATTCATCTAACAGGGCCCCTCAGGGGGGATTTCTGACGGGTGTCTGTGCTTGTCAGAAGTCCTATGGGATTTCGCGCTCCTAGGGGGATTGTTCCTGAGCGCCCCACCGCTGAGCTCGCGGTGTCTGACTGCAGGACTCAATTGTGGGGTTAAATTATTATGTAGATAGGATTCCTTATATTTCCCTTCTCTGTCTCTCTCGTGCGGGCGGCCGACGTCCCGTGTAAGCAACCTCTTGTTCGAGTGTCTTCGTTTCTGTTGCTTTTCACCTGTCCCTCCTTGTCACTTCGTCTCTTTGAGATGCTAACGCTGCTTCCTTTGAGCCAGCTTCAGCGGGCTGGACATCCGAGACCTTCCGCCCCTTGTGGGTGATGAATAATTGAGACCTTCCACCTCTATGTAATGTTCATCTTGACTTTTGGTGCGAGATAGCTAAATAGCTGAAGCGCTAGTAAACATTTCGCCACTAAACTAACTAACTCATCTAACAGGGATCTTGCAGCTCTGAAAATGGGGGGAAAGCTCTAGTTGTGGCTCAAAATTTGAACCTCAAATGGCAGATATACAACACACCAGAAGCCTAGGGTGAGTGAATATCTCGAGATCTTTTGCAACACATTTCCCTATAAAACCTCTTTCTTGGTATTTTTGACAAGAAAATATTAATACTAAGGTGGGAGGTTTACAGTGGCAAAGGTGAACACTTTTCTTGCCTTTCTTCTATTTCATTTGTGAGTCCTATAGGTATAATGAGACTGGTGAGTGTCATGGATAGCAGCACTTCCACACATAAGAAATTGATCAAATTATTTAGTAGATGAGGAGTAATACTCAGTACAGTATGCCTTTAATTATCTTTCAATAATATATGATTTTTCTTTATACAGAAATTTGGTGAATGAAAAATCTAGAACTTTATTTTAGAAGAAATTTTCTCTAAAGTCATATGGCAACACTGAACACCGTCTGTTTACATTTCGTATGTATAATAGCCGCAGTTTATGATTACCGTACGTTCTGTATCCGACAAGCAGAAGAGTCAGAAGTAACCCGGACATGTCTTACATTTTATTGTCAGTTCGACTCGCGTAGTTGATATAAACTTTGATCTTTGATGACCAACAAAATATAACTTTTTAATAGGGAGACTTCATGTTTATTATACTACAAGTAATGATCTTTATTTAATTAGAGGTTTAGAGCCACGTTGCCACGCGTCCATATTTAAACTATTTTAGCTTTCTAAAGTACGGTGCACGGCGCATTTTTTTACCAGCATAGTACGGCGCACCGCGCAGGTCATTAAATTTAAAATGACAAGATAAATTCCCGCGCACCTGGCACATCTTCCTGACCATGGCAAGAATATAGAGTATTATTTGTTGAGTAACAAAGTATATTTGTTATGAACAAAATATTTTAGATCTAACATTTTGATTTGGCAATATTTCATAAAAAATATGTATGATAATGGTAGTATCCAATATCCATGATACCTACTTTACTGGTAACTGGTCTACTTATAGGACTCAAAATTCAATTTGAGATCTGAGGAATAGTTGAAATAAAGTCTTTTATGATAATGACATTGACACCATCTGTGACCATCACCATGGACCATGGTAGTTAGTATACAATCCTATACAATACAAGTGCCAAGTTTTTAAGAAAATACATATTTTTATAAACAAAACATTATGTAAATACTAACAATAAGCATTCAATTTCAAAGACTCTAAATTTGCCCAGCTCAAGGCTCAAGCCACCGGCACCTCAACCTCAAGTTTGAGAAATTAGGAGAGGAAATAAACAAAACACAGGAATTGGAGTAAAAAAAACTGAAACTGGGCCATTTGTTTATAACATGGCTGATATTTTTTAGATAGAGCAAGTGAGCAACTGAACTGACTCTGAGGCCTGAGTCAGACTCAGGTCAGACACCATGTCATGAGAATGTGAGTCTGAGCTAAGCAGCAGAGCAGGTAGCTCAGAGCCTCAGCCTCACTGCCTCAGTGGGTCAGCATACGAGATACGACGACTACGGACTACCTAGGTAGTGTAGGTGCGAGTACGGTAGGCTACTCGACTAACTCGAGTACTAGTACTGTAGAGACTAGAGTGTACTAGTAACCCTAAAATTCAAACAAGCCTGTCATTTTCACCGTTAAAAATTATAACCATTTTATTAATAAATATTTAAGCTTTTTCAATTTGACTCACGTAGATTTTTTTGGAGCTCGTAGCAGAATACAATTTCGTACACTTTATCTACGGGCTGCGGCACTCGCACAGTCGCACGCACCTGCTGAACAAACATACAGAACTCCCTCCTTATTTTTGAAACGTCTTAGTCTGGGCCTCACTTCGTGTATCTCATGAGAATCTGCAGTGAATAAAATATTCACCGACTCCTATTTTGGCTGCTCTGTTTAATATTACAAATTTTGAATTTAGGGAATTTAGATGAATGGAAAATCACAGTGACAATTTAGACTCAATTCAGGTAGATTTAATTAAATTAAATATTATTGCAATTATTATTTCCATTTAATTTCGAAATTTGTTAAAGAACATGCGAAATAATAAAAGTCTTCCTTTATTACGTCTCGGACGAATTTCAGCCGGACCCGCTTATTATGTTTTACTTGTACACTGAATAACTCTGGCTACTTATCACACCAGGACAAGATAGATGTTAGGCAATATACGGCTTCACAAAGACCACAGTCAGCATTAAAGAATAGGCCTGGATAGGCCTGTCGCCGATTCTTGTACTTTTCTTGACTAGACTGGCCTTACGGACGGTAGATTTAAAATCGCTTCTGATCGGTTTCATTCATATTGAGGGATCTCACCGTTTAGCTCCAAGGGCAGCAACGAATAAAGTTTTTACTTCATTAACGAAATTTCCCAAGATAAAAGCAGGATATTCAAAACACACAATGATGATATAGTCAGATCACAATCTAGATTTCCCCAACTGCAACACTACCACGCGTTGCGAGAACGTAGGCGACTCTTTTACTTAATGATAATAATAGCGGTTTCAGCATTTATTAGGTCTATGGCCTGTCGCCGATTCTTAACTTCGCAGAACATTCACCACATTTTGCGGTCTCGAACTCGCAACTCACTGCTACAATTCTGCTGTGCTTAACCGCCCATTCTGACGCTGTGCTTAACCGCCCGGCCTCCGCGCCGATTCTGACCAGAAACTGGCGCACAGAGCTGGGATCGAACCCGCGCCTCTCTGCTCCAATCTTGTTACTCTCTGAAAGGGTGGCCCAGTTCCCACTGGGCCACCCTGCCCTGTAACCACTGGGCCACACGTCTTGGACGAATTTACGGCCGGACACCGTCAGGTCATAATGAATACGTGTACTAAGTTTCATCGAGCTACGTTCAGTACTTTGGTAGATATTCGATGTACACTGAATCTGGAGCGCGGCCGCGAGACCGGCTGCGAGTCCGGCCGTAAATTATTCGTCCGAGACGTCTGAGCCACTTGGTTGTCATTCCTTGTTCAACCTAAGAGCAGAGAAGCATGGGGGTATTTGATCGGAGCAACTCATCTTGTGGCCTCCCTCTAATGTCCAGCTTAAGAAAGAAAACTGAAATCATCATTGTGTGTTTTGAATATCCTGCTTTTATCTTGGGAAATTTCGTTAATGAAGTAAAAACTTTATTCGTTGCTGACCTTGGAGCTAAACGGTGAGATCCCACAATATAAAACAATAATAAAGGTTGTTGCAAATTTTCGTATGTACATACCTATAAGCATTTATCAAGCACACTGTGAAATAATAAAATATCTTAGTATTTTTATTATTCAATTTCTCGTCATTTTTCGCTTTTTTCTGGGCCGTGCGTTTTTTCAGTTCGAAGTTGCTTTTGAATTTCCATTCGCTTTAAAAATGTCTCCAATGGAGTCACCAAGGTTTCAGCGGCCTCTCGTTTCTCGTGAAACCTTTTTAACATTTTTTTCTGTAACAATTGTTTTCGGTTAGTAAATTTTAAACTTGAATAATAACAAAAACTGCTTTAATTTTAAATTACACATAGTTTATAAACATATATTTCACTGAGATTAAAATGACCATATATTGGATTTTCAGCTGAGAAAGCATGATGCTATATTTCTCACCTGCATTGCTTGTAGTTTTAAAGCATCAATGGCTGAAGTTTTGACGTCGCAGTCAGTACCATGAGAGGAGCCGGGTGGCTTTGTTCTCCTTGATGCGCCTGCAGGAGAACGAACATCCCCGTCGATATATTATCTTAGCTACATCTGTTAACAAATGATACGAAATGTTAAAAATAATACAGTGAAAACCTTAAACCCAGACCTGAAGGTAAGGTTTGTTAATGTCCAGGAAACAAATTACTGTATGTGTTATAATTTAGAAGGATTTGTTTTATTAAAAAGTCGCATATTGGACGTTAAATATCGAGGTGCATTGGAAATACGAGCCAATTNGTAAACTATTTAACAAAGAGCAATTAGTTCCATTTGTTCGCAAATTCTGTTTTCATCTTGAGCACGAGCCTTAGTATGTTTTGTGAAAAGGATTATTGAACAAAGTTGTGATGTATTATTTAATAATAAAGCCGTGCGAGCTTTTCATAAGTGACATGGTATAGCAGAAAATTAGAGATGAATGCTGATATAAGTATGCGATATAGCAAAGATTGCGAATAAAGCTTCAAATGAAATAAACTTTCAAGGGAGGTACTCTGAGTCAAGGTAGATAAGGTGCCAAAGATTAATCATTTTTCACAATTTACCAACATTATAATAACAAATGGAGTGGAAAACTTTGAAAACCGTTCACACTCCTACTATAGCTTCGACGAACAGAATAACTGAGGCGGCATTTCGTGTAAAATACATCTCGCCTGGCCTCGAAAAACAACACAAAAGCCAAATAAATCATACAAGAACCTGAACACTTAAATCCTGTTTATAAATAACATTTTAATTTAACAGAATGTAACGATTTTTTACACTTTTTCAATCCGCAACATTCATCGTTTCTTACTAACAACGTTTTATTAAAGTGCCAGTACGAAACATTTCTATTTAATGTCTGCCACTGACTAACCCGGCCGATGACAGACAGGGATGACTGCGATATGGATTAAACATCGTCTTTATATACTAAATTATCAGGCAACGCAGGATGCGATGAAGGGAGTCCCTCATCAGCAGGAGTTTAATTGCTGCCTCGCGACGCTGACGATGTCGGCGCAGGTATGCAGGAGGGCACGGGACGCCTGCATCAGCTCATCGTGTGCTGATGTAGTCAGCTCGTTTGACGCCTGAAAATAGATCTGCAGTTGAACTCATATAAGGAAAATTGAGAGAAATGATATGAACGCTCCAGCCTAACTTGTAGCGAATGAAAGTCCGAGGTGCTGGTGATGAAGAAAAGAGCTTATTAACTTCCGAAAAGGCAAAACCAATATATGACGATTATCATGATGTTTCAAAAAAATATTCATTATTTTGCTTTTATCTCTGCAGCCAATACATTACATCTTCCAGTTACTTGCGAGCTGACAGACAAATGAGCTCCAGCGTTCTGGGTATCTCTGCTACCAATCTCGACGCCATTTTCCACTGTAGCTACTGCTTCATTCCGATGCGAATGTGCTGCATCGGTCACAGTTAATTCATTCCGGGCAGATTTACTCAAATTCGCGATATGTTTGAATTTTATCTGCTGTTCCTGCGCGGTGGCTTGCAGGGCCGTGACATGCGCGTGCCAGGCGCGCACCACCGGGGCGAGACCGCGAACTCGCGTCGACGCCGCGAGCGCTGCGTGCAGATGTGCCGAAGTTGCGCGTAGCTCACTGAGAAAAATAATTGTGCTTAACTTCCTACGCTGGTTATCTAATATTAATATGTTGATTTTAATTCGTCCCCAGAAACATAATAAATTTATGTGAACTGTGTGAGGTTCCTTGAACTGATGACTAATAATAATACTGATAATAACTTGAACTGATAACTAAGGTGACTGTGTCAGGCGTTATCCGTGGTACACGCGATGATGCCATTTCTTGGAAAACTATTTCGGGGGTCGAATGTGAAGTGCTAATTTCTTATTACAACACTTGTCTTTAACTTTACTTCTTGTTTGTTTGTTTGTTTGTTTGTCTGTCTGTCTGTCTGCTACAAATCTTGTAATCAAAATTTAACACACTTCTACTTATCCCATCAATCTGAAATTTTGCACACTTGTGTAAAGTTGGAGACAATGCATGAATCAAATGTCAAAATAAATAATTTTAAAAATTAAAATTTTTTTTCAATATTAAAAGAATTGAAAAAATAATTTTTGTCAGCTACAAATCTTATAACTGATATTTGACACACTTTTACCTGTCTAATTGATCTGAAATTTTGCACACTTGTGTGAAGTCAGAGGCAATGCATGAATCAATTAATAGAATAAATAATTTTGAAAAACTCAACATTCACTCCTTTTTCAATGCCAGCCGTCAACCTGTCGACACTCGCTGTCAATATTTCTTCCAGTTTTTTGAGTGATGCAATTTCAGCGCAGAGAATATCGGTTTTTGTTTCAGAACTTGGCTCGCCACCAGCTGCGCTTTGTAGCCACGGTCCGTCGTCATCGGTAGCCTGAGACCGGAAATATTAATTGAATGAGAGCGACACCGTAAGCTAGGTTAGCTGGGCTATTATTAGGTGGAGGTTTTTATATATAATAAATGGTATACCGCCCGTATACGTCAATTAGCGACTGTCTATTCATGAACGCGACTTGATATTAAAATGATATATTTGACGAAAATGATGTCACGTAAATTTAGGAATTAAAACTAATTGTTTTAATTCTTGTGACAAAATTCTTTAACTGGACAATCTAATAATGAAACGAGGTCTTAGGCAGTTAGATGATGACATAAATGAATTACGGAATATGTATAAACAGCTATAAAAAAGGCATTTAAAAGCCGAAAAATATGTAACATGACAATAGTTTTTAAAATGTACATATGTTATTAAAAAAAATGGTACTACTAAGATATGAGCATACGCCCGTTTAGTACATACCTGCTGATTCGCTGAAAATGACTTTGTCAAAAAAATACATGCAACTCGCTGCGACAGAGTTTCGAGACACTCGGCGTTCTTTCTGCGAGTTCGTGCTAGCCGCTCCCAAGAAAAAGGTTTGAAACGTTAATTTCGCTCAAAATTGTTGAAATGAATGCCAATACGCTAATTAACAAGTATTTGAGGTGAATGTAAGAGAACTTACGTTGTGGAGATTCATTTCTTCAACAAATTGTC